AAATGTGGTGCCTTAAATATTAATAGTGGTATTTACCATTTACAAAGTATTTTAGAGCAGATTTTATAGAGAGAAAAAACTTAACATAAAACAGAATATAAATCAATTTTTATTTTAAAAATATGATATACTAGGCGCTGCAACACGTTAAATGTTAGTGATTATTAACAAGGTGCTCTGGATGAACGGATTTTATTTGCCTCTTGAAAAAAGTTGGTTTAGTTGCCTTGTGGAAGCAGTTTCATGGTCAAAATCCGAGGAGCACTATCCGTCACAAAAAGCAAGGTTTTGTACTATTTTATGACAAATATGTACAACAATTGAAAGACAATGAAGAATGACAATAGATATGTTAGTTTCATTACATTAAGAAGCAAACATGAGATCATGTTTATCATCAATTAAAATAGTAATAATATAGTAACCGATTATAATTTTTAATACCTCAAATACAAAAATAAAAAGAGAGGAAAGATAGAGTTTTTCCAAACATTTACAATAATGAAATCAATATTTTTCTAGTCTTCACATCAATTTGAAAATATGTATCACTAATAGAAACTATAAAATTAAAAGATCCCTGGTATACTGTAAAAAAAAAAAAAAAAAAATTGTAATATTTGAAAAACAAAATGCACAACATCAGTGAAGTTGGGGAATCCTTTGCTTCCTCCCAAATGTGTATCATTTGAAATATTAATGTTATTTCTTCATCGAATATAATATTTCAGAGGTATGTAACAGTTGGTGCTTCCTACTTTATATTTCTTTGAAAACAACTTTAATGAAAATATCTGTACAACGAACAAAGTGAAACCTCAAAACTACCTTTACTACTGCTGAGTTTCAGTAATCATGCGTCAGTGAAAAATACTGTGTGCTATCCCTCAACATTGTTTCAACATTGTTAAAACTATTATTATATCAATCAAAACTTCACTCCTGCAATTTAACCAATTATTTATGGATGGTTTATTCAATGATCATTTTTAGTTTAGATTTATGCAATATATAATTTTATTTTCTACATTACATCTCTAATTAATTCCTCTTTCCTCTCAATGAACAGCTGCCAAAAATATCTACGTCTTTAGTTGACACAACAAAATTATCTCTGGTAGTACTTTTCAGTAACAGCAATGTTGAATAATGTATGTATTATATATAATACAATGTATATTGTTGTTATATATAAATAACTTAGGGATTATACAATTTTTCTTTAAATTTTGTCTACGAGGAAAATAATATTCTCTGTAATATCAGAATCTATGTTTTTAGAAAATAGTGTTCAGAAAACTTTCAGAATTAAAAAGAGATTTAAGCTGTTAAAAGTAATAACAAATAGAACGAATATACAATAATAGGTTTGCAGAAGGGCTATGGCGAACCTAGAAAATTTCAATGTAACAAACTATGATATTCTTTCCCAAAATGTTATAAGGATCTTTTACCTTTTCAGACACTTTACAATATGTTAAAATGACTATGAAATTTGAATTTGTTCAACACAACATTATTTCTCTAACTGAGGAGGCCTAAAATCTCTCCAATGAATCGTCTCATCCATCTCAGTGACTTTTTGATTAAATGTTTTACTAAACTAGACTCTCAGAATAAATATTTGTGTGTTTGTTATTATATATAATTTTTAGAATTTGTGTTCTGAAAGCGGATCTTTAACAAGTTACATACATCTTGGAGAACCAAAACTTAAAAACTACACACTTCAACTGGAAAGTAGGCTAGTTGCAATTTATATTATTATATTGTTAATCAGTCTTGCACATTATTATTAATGTTTAATGCTGAGGGTTGGACGGGATATAGGTGAAGCACACAGTATTTTGAAATTGGATCGCAAAATTCATATTGATAAAATATTGATTCAATAATACAATAAAACCTATGGCGATACAAATACATGTCAAAAATATTTATTTCGCCAATAAATATAAGCAGAACTAAACATAATTTGTAATGTAGTAATGCAGAAATTGTGCATAGATGCAAACCATTTTATGACCACAGTTTGTCCATTGTAACACAAGTCATATTTAAATGTAGTTATGGGCATCAGCGCTTTTGTTTCTCTGGAATGTATTTTCTGTTAGCAGTTGAACCGCCTCATTAAAAAACATATGTAAGAAAAAGTCGAAAACGCGGAACTTACTAATTAAACAGACTCCACAGCAAATTCCTGAAAATTCAGCTTTTACCTCGTAAGTTTTGCTTCAGTCGCGGAGAATTCCTGTGTATGCCCACCTTCATAGGCACATGCTGAATAAACCAACACCTCCTTTACCTACAGTAATACGTAATTAGGTGGCGTTGAATAAACAGCGAGACCGTAGTTCCTCCGGTCTGCGATAGGCTATCTGCGTCCCATGAACCATACCATGTACATTCTCAGGGCTACATTTACCAATTAGTAAAATAACAGGCGCGGATCCATGGGAAGGCCACGGGAAAAATTCACCCCTTAATTTTTTAAATTTAAAATAAATTGATTTTATAATGAATAATATAAATTATTTTTAAATAAGTTTCTTAGTGCATCTGGAGGGACTTCGTTTTATGGAGGGGTCCAACACTTTTTTATGGTTGGTGGGCTCCACAGTAGTTAAATCCGCCCCTGTACTTAATGTTAGATACGCTGTTAGCCAGCCAGGATTGCCAGATGTATTGCAAGCTCTTTCCCTCTACTACTACGGAATTTCCACAAATAGCCTCCCGAATGAAAGATAATACCCCAACTTTGAGACGAAAAATATTCTCTAAATTATGAACCAAAGACTGTTTCTGACCATTCCATTGGCTGTCCCCTTAAATTCAAATCAACCAATTATCCTTTGAGTTTCTCGAATCTTCGTTTTCCTCATGTTTTTCTTTCCCTGTGCCTGTCGTTTATTTTTCTCTTTGCGATACATAACAATGATAGAGAATAAGTCTTTTGTTTTTTATTCATAATTGAGAGAATTATATTTCTATCTCGATTCCGGATGAAAATAATTTCCCCAAAAATTCCCGGACATTTATGTTCCCCATTCTTTCCCCCACAACGAAAAAAAGTCCCCATTTTGGGAACAAAATTCCCCAATCTGGCAACCGTTGACAGCGATCTTGTGGCGCAAGTGCACGAAATACAGAGTTCGTCCACTATAAGCTGTCAATCCCTTCGACGTGACCGTCAGACGACGGGTCATGCAAATGACCTTCAGAACAGTTCGACGCATTCGGAGTTTCAATATCCCAGAGAGAGCAAATGTTGGTAACCTTGATGAAAAAAAAACTCCAAATTGAACGCGTTTGAATTTATACAGAGGCATGTATTAAATTATGCAAACATTTTAATTCCATTAAGTCAATTTAAAATCATACAAATGTTGTTAGTTAATCAAGCATTGTTAGGCTTACAAAAAGGGTCCAGACGTCTAGTAAGGTACAATTGTAAGGCGACGCATGATCGGAGCACTGCTTGAAACGCTCGCGATCATGCTTGAAGCGGCACGACCGAGAAAGACGCGAAAGGTAGTGACATAATGACACTGTACCAGGTGTGCAACCCCACGAAACCGGACCGTCTTCTCTTCCTTGTGGTCAAGGAGTGCCCAGCATCTTGGAGCGCACTGTTTGACAGCCATGCCCTAGAAACTTTAATCACCCACTGGTTCCCAAACTGAACCCCTGGGATAGTTTTGACACGACCCCAGGAAGGAATCTAAACAGAAAAACACATGCCAAGTTGTCAACGTGATAAAAACAAGTTCCTCCGGTCTGCGATAGGCGATCTGCGTCCCATGAACCATACCATGTACATTACCTCTTCTTCAATCGACCTAAAACTACAATTTAAACAGAGTGGCACTTGAAGGCCACGAGCTGGAAAGGGGAAAATTGACATCCAATCGGAAGCTCCAACACCAAACATTTAAGTAATAACAAAGCTCCCGTTTTGGTAACAGAGTTCCCCTCTCTGACCAGCTCGTGAGCTTTAAGGGCCACTCTGTTTAAATGGGAGTACATACAGACGATTTACAGGCGAGGAAACACAAGTCGGGCGCATACATAAAAGTGTGAAAGCCTTCGTTAATATGACAAAATTCGTTAATATTTAACTATAGTACGATTGATTTATCGTGCCCTTGGCGTAAATCAGCTGTTGCGTTTTCATCCAATAGGTAGCTTATATGACGCTGCACTATGGCGTCACTATGGGGACGTTCAAGCTCCCGATTGGATGAAAACGCAAACAGCTGATTTACGTCAAGTGCGCGTTTCAATAAATTCCATTATAAAGCTTCCAGTATAAAGTCCTTGCAACCGTCATACTTGCGACCATGATACAAAGACATGGGTGAGCTGGTCCAGCTAACCGAATTTGCTCGTTCTGCGCAGAACCAGTCTACGTCACCAACACCAACGTAACCACAACGCGGGAACTTCGTTTGCAAAGCTAGAGCAGACGCTGGCCGCCATGATTCTTGGTGGCTTCTGAGAAACATTTTGAAAGTGGCATAAATGGCAATTCTCAACTGCGACCACCCAAAAATAACACGATAAAGGTGTAGATGAAAAAAATGATATTTTAAAAAAATGCTTCTTATATCTGTTTCAGAGACTTGTATTACTCGGGCAACTTTTCTTGAACGATGGATTGACGATTTCGGGTGGAGTGGGGGTATTAGTTACAAAGTCGGCCACTAGAGTATTTTAAGTAATGCCAACGTCTGTGAAATGAAAGTCAAAACTGAATCTTGTGCTTAACTTTTTCGGGAGTTTTTGGAGACTCCCTTGACGGAACTGGACTTGACTCAGACATTTCTTTCGATATTGACACTAAATCAGAACAGGAGTTCTGCACTATGAAAGCAACTGGCTTTGACTAGCTTCCGTTTCGCGCCAACGAAGTTTTAATGCTTGGAAGGTTGTCATCAGTGCCCGCTGCGAGCTTTTGCCTTCAACTGTTTATTGCCCAAGGGAGGGGGATCAAGGTCATCGTTCAAGAAAAGTTGCGCGAGTAATAACAATGTGATGTTGGGTAGCATTTAATATTCACGCTAGTATTGGGACGTAAACTGGTGCCTGAAGCGTATTGGATGAATATGGATAGGGTGCGCAATAGCACACCCATGCCTTTGCATCATGCGTACTACCAAACCCGCGTCCACTTTCATAATGTCTTCTCACCGGTAGCACCTTGGATGAGGTTCTCGCGTACGAAGTCCCTCGAAATCTGTCCCAGAGGAGGCAGGCTCCAGGGCCCTTCAACTCTCCGTCGAAACTGGGGTCAGAAGTTTTTTTTGTGCCACGACAGGGGTGCTAGCGTCGCCGGGTGCAGGTCGAGGTCAGGCTCGCCAACACCGCACGCTAAAAACATGACGCATTAACGGGAAATTCGCTTGGATCGAGAGTAGAAGAACGATAACATTTGCTGGCGAATCCCGTGGCTTTGAGCAACGCCAGTCTTCTCCACCAGGCACGCCTACTTGACCCCCGTCGTCCCACGAACCATCTCAGTACCGTGGGCAGCGGCGTCGTTTAGTTCCCGCGCGAAGCAGCGAGGGCAGAGCGCGCTGCTCACCCGCCCAGGTCCGCGAGGGCCGCGTCGGGTTCCTGGCAGACGCCGTCGCCGTTCCACCAGTCCGCCACGTCGGCGTACGACTTGTCGGGGAGCGGCTGGTGCAGCTTTTCGCACAGGCGGCACAGGTGGTTGTGCGAGTCGGGGAGCACCTCGTAGTAGCGCTTCCACCAGAAGAACTTGGCGTACTCGTCGGGCCGCTCCGCCAGGAAGGAGAGGTACGCCGCCAGGTGGCGCGGCGACGCGAACGCCCGCGCGTCGATGTACGAGTGCGGTGGCACCACTGCGCTGTAGTTGGCGGCGCCGTACACCACCGGCACGATGTCCAGCTGCAGGATGTTGAAGAGCTTCTCCGTCACGTAGTCCCTGCAATGACACGCACGTACTCGTCAATGTTCGTCAGATGGATTTCGTCAAGCTTATTTCTCATATTTGTACGAATATGATGGCAGTTACCATTGCAAAGAGTCTCTGCAATTGGGAAATATTCGTGAATCATCAGGAGGTGGAAGTCGAAAAGAGGAAGTGTTATTTTTTTAAGAAAATGATGTCAGATACCATTGCAAAGTGTCCCTGCTTTTGGGACATATTCGTGAATCATATGGAGCTCAAAGTCGAAATGCAAATTTCAGATACTGAGCAAGATAATGAATTGGCCTCAGATTCTGATGACATGCCATCTTTTCATTGGTAAATTCTAGAAGTAGCTGACTTATAAATGAAGGTTTAACACGACATGTAGGTAATAGAAATATATAGTTGTTGGGTAATGTTGGGTCATTTTGCCATCTTTCAATTTTTAGGTAATTTTATGGGACATTTGCGTAATTTTTGACATTTTTACAATTTTTTTTTCCTTTTCGTGGTTTTTTGTTAGTGAATGTTTAATGAATTTACGACACACTAAATCGAAGTTTTTATTGTATTATGACGAAATTCGCTACTGCAGTGGCAAACTCTTTGACTTTTCTAAACTGACGGTTAAAAGATCGGAGGTAAGGATTCCATTTCGTCCTAAAATAAAGCCTATATTGAATATAATTTTATATAAATAAATTTTATTTAAAATTGAATAATTAATTGAATAAATAAACATTGACAAGCATTTGAGCATTTTTTTTTAAAGATAGGCCATTTTCCCCTTATTTTAATTCATTTTGTATGCCATTTTAAAAGAATGTTTAGGTCATCAGAAGTGCTGGGACGGCGAAATGTTGAGAGGTGGCGGGGGGGGGGGTAGAGGGCACGTACTTGCAGAGCGAGTTCTCGAAGGAGAGGTAGAACTTGTATCCGCGCGCCAGCAGCATGCGGTAGAAGCCGGGCAGGTCGTCCTTGGGCCAGGGGGCGCCGCAATCGCCGAACACCTGCACGTGCACGTGCTGCGACAGCTGCGCCACCAGGCTCTCGCGCTTGCTCTGGGTGGCGCAGTGCGACACCAGCCACGCCACCACCGCCGCCGACCCAGGCCCCCCGCCGCCCCCGCGCCGCCGGCGCCGCCTGCAACGCGACCCAAAACATCTCACCGAGCCCCCTTGGTGCCGACTGGGACCATACACCCTGCTTTTACAGGCGATCACAAACATTATCTGGTGGAAGGTGCACACCGAAAAAAAGAACCGTTGGAGTATACCAGATCCATGGTACTGTAAAAACTTTCCTTGTTACAGTATCATGCATCTGGTATACTCCAACGGTTCTTTTTTTCGGTGGCAAGGATTTGATCACGGGCTCAGCATTTAGCTAGAGATGATTTTTATACGCCAAGGTTGTTAGCCCTGGGGATATGAAAGATGACAGTTAGGGGTGAAAGGACGGCACACACATATAACCTTGCCCGAAGCGGGACTCGACTCCGCGATCTTCGGGTCCGAGACGGCCCCCTCCTAACGACCTTAGCAGTCCGGCTCACCTGTCGTGGTCGCCGCGCGGCGGGGGCGGCGGCGGGGGCGGAGGCGCGAAGGCGGGCGGGGCCAGCCACCCGCGGGCCGGCAGCCGCACCCCGGCCCTGGGCCGCACCTCGCCGTAGGGCGCCGCCACGTCCGAGTCCAGGCGGTACGTCATGGTCCAGTTGAAGAGGTGGTGCATGCCGGCGTACGAGCTGCCGCAGTTGGCCGGCGACTCCAGCAGGAAGAAGACGTACCTGCCACCACACGCGCCGCAGTCAAAGGCGGTTCCGGTTTTGCTCACGCGATGGCGCCACTCTGCTCATCGGACTCGACATTATGTGCCACTTTTACCAATCATTTCATCTATACTAATATATGAAGACAGAAGTGCGTTGACTTACAGTGTGATTATCTCCGAATCTACTCAACCAATATCGACGAAACTTTTGTGACAGCTTCCTTTAAAAGTCTGGAGTTCTTTAGGCTATGATTTATAACCACGAACCTTAATATATGTACAAAATAATTACTTTCCTGGACATTTTTCGCCTAGTTTTATATCACAGACTCAAGAGGGCATCAATGCCAATAGTTAAGCTGAGGGCCACCATTGCATAATGTCTCAGATCTACTGATTTCATCAATGCACGTACCGAAAAAAAGAAACGTTGGAGATAGCAAGATCCATGATACTGTAACAAAGAAACTTGTTACAGTATCATGGATCTGGTATACTCCAACGGTTCTTTTTTTCAGTGCGGAGTTGCGTATGTAGTTTGTATATTTGTACTATTTGTTTATTTCCGTCAGTTGTCTAATCCGAAATAATTCTGAGTTTTCTCAGCTTTGTTTATAAAAATAACTGGGATATTCATTTTAATTGTAGGCGTGAGTGCATTAAGTGTACAAGAGACGATACCGACAGGCGCCTGTTGGCTTCTCGTTTTACTTTCTCGCTACGGCTTGCACGGTGGAGAGAAAGTTATGAAACGCTGTGCCAAAAAACCGCGAATTGTCGGCAGAACAACTCTTAATACTCTCTTACACTTCAATTACCATTTGAAAAATTGTTTAACTGGCAGAAAGATCATTCCTAGACAGCCACTAGTAAATGTGGTTACTATTATTGTTATTATCATTATTATCATTATCATTACCATTATCATTATTATAATTATTATTATTATTAATATTATTATGTGCAGTGCAGTGACGTTCTGAAATTGAGAGAAACGAGTGAGTAAGAAAGACATTACAGCTCGCTGTATCGCAGTGCGGTGAAGTGAAGTGTGGTGAAGTGGAGTTCTATGAAAGATTGCACGGTGAAATGTTCACGTGATTTTGTAAAGTTTGTAGATTTTGTATAGTTGTTAAGTTCTTTAATGTTAAGTTAGTGTATTCTGCCACCAAGTTCTCACACTTAATTGCAGAATTATTAATAAATCTAATCCAATCTAATTATAGCACATACAGAGCATGTTAATAGCTCAATTTCTATCGCTGGTGTTAAAAGTGAGACGTCGCTCATATGTTCTTTCAAAACAGTATGAATGCAACAAAGAAAACAAAATAAATTCATCTGACCGCATACGCTATTACTGACATTTATGTTACATATCACCAATTAAGTGATTGTTAACTTGGATTTAAAAAAATAGAAATCAGTAAAGTTGTCTGAAAAATGGCGTATCACACACAGAAAAAGTGATTTTATTTTGCTGATAGGATTGCTCACCGGTCTCGTTGCAGCCTTTACTACTCGCAAAATAAAATGTCACTCAGCAATCATATAATAAATAAATATTTTACCCGTTTGCAGTTGCTAAAGAAGGCATTTCCCTAAACACACGATAAATAGAAGTTTCAATATTTGTGACATAAACTCGTCCGGCGGCCACACAAATTAACGTGGCGGGCCACTTGAAGCAACGGGCTTCTCCAGACTTATCGCATGCGCGTCCATTGCGTCATCTGGCCACGAGCCACGTTAGAGGAAACGACGCTGAAAACCGATGTTCTGTTCTGCGGTTTGGAAGCCTGCGGCGCAGGAAGGAACTCGCGAGTTGATGAGATTTGTAGATCTGTGATATGGGTTTGTAACAGTCACTTAGGAAGCGACGTCAAGAGGCGAACTAAGCCATTGTTGTGCGTAATAGAACAGTTTTACTTTCTCGCCCTCAGTAAGAAGGGAAAGCACTGCAATTGGGAGCTGGGAAACGGAGAATTTTTGCCAGAAAAACTCCCATTGCCGGGCCCTCGTAACGAAAAAGTGGGGAAGTTTCGTTTCTACGAGTAAATATGACGCGTTCAGGCATAAATAATGGTACCTGAAATTATGGAGGAATTCGATATTATTGAATAACATCCTCTATAAAGGCTAATAGAGAGTTCTTCCAAAATGTCAAATACAAGTATTTATATCCGGACGCATCGTATACTGGATTACTTCCTCTAACACATAGCGTGGAAGCCATGTTTTGAGGGTCCTTGATACCGAAAAATCAATTAACAGCAAAAAGTGTGTGTGTATATGTCCGTTCGTCCGTGGTCAAAGCTAGATAAAAAAAAGTTCAGCCGGTTTTCTCCGAAATTGATATTCCTCAATCGATTGAAATAACTCGAGGCCCTCTGAAACGGATATTATGATATTGAGAAGGGGGTGTACTTTACATGACGCTTCAAAATTATCAAAATTTTCTCAAAAATGCTCCAGATTTTTAAATTAATCTTTGTCCTCGGATAGCATAAAGGACGCTTCCAGAATGACGCTAGTCTCGTTTCCGTTGAAATCCCTCATTTTTCGACAATTGCAAAAGTGCATATTTTTCGGCGTCTTCGTACAGCCACAATATTGAAGTTGTAATTTTTTCCAGAATGAAATCTATTGTAACAAAATCAGCTCTTTAAAAAAGGTCAGGTACAGTTTATTGAAACAAAAAGTTGTTTTTGCGCAATTTGTGGTTAAAATTATTGTAATTTATGAAAAAAACGTTTCTCAAAACCGTTCAAAATGTTCTCTTCAACTTTTTTCCGCGGATAGAATAAGGGAAACTTACAGGAATGGCGCAGGTCTCATTTTCATCGAAATCTCTCAAATTTTGAAAATGGCAAATTTAGAAATAATGCGAGCAACTACTGTTGTAGCACCAGTAATTCTAGGGTGTGGTACTCTTCTGAGCAGTGTAACTGACTCTGCAGTATAATTTCTACACTTTCTTTAATCCACCGTTGGTCGACAAGTGACCGCCGAGCTAATCTTCGATTTCAACTGCTTCTATTACAAGTTATATAGCAGGGGTGTCCAACTTGAAATGCCTTAAGGGCCACAACTAAAGCCTTTACCAAGGCCGTGGGCAATATTTTCCTTACCAGCACGATCCACGCCTAACTTCCCTGTGTTGTTGATCTCAACAACCTGTGTAGTTTCCCCGGCTGCTCTGAAACGGCGGGGGAGGGGGTGGATGGGTGATATCAGGCCGTACCTTGTACAACGCATTAAAACACACTGAGATGATTTTCAATTCCTGAATATACTAGAAAAAATATTAAATCTAAACTTAACCTCACTTTACATTAATGGTATTTTGATCTCGGCAGGGCGCGTGCGCTAGGTGCACACATGATCTCGCCCGACATGCCTGCAAGGGCCTTCCCCCTTTGACTAGCCTTCCGCTAACCACAAGAAATGGCACCGGGAACCGCATGCGGCGCGTAGTCCGCCAGTTGGACACGCCTGTTATATAGGGGTCCCGTGCGTGACGTTTTTCTGAGGTCAGTCTCAGATATTTAACCTTTGCCCCGACAAATCATTTCGGGGCGCTAAAATGTCCACAGTTTTTACAAATACAAAGAAATGTTCTGTATTTTCTGATAACAGGTACTGTTATTTTGAATACGCTTCGAATTTGTACACGTAGGCTTCCGCGGCTCGAGTTGGTGACTTCTAGGCTGTCCGGGTGACGCCGCGTCGTTGGCAGAGAGGTCGACGTTTCGCCTGTCATATCCCTGTGACCGTCACTACCCTGAAGAAGCCTGCGATATGACAGGCGAAATGTCGGCCTCTCTGCCAACGTCGCGGCATCGCGACAGCCTAGTAGCCGCTTTGAATTTCTCGATGAACAGCTGTTCAACGTGGCAACGACTCGGTGATTTATTCATTCGTTTGAGTCATTTCCTTTCATTGTTGTTTCATTGAATGTTACGGCGCGATGACGTAGTGGTTAGCGTATCGAACTGTTATACCCAAGTTGGCGGGTTCAAACCCGATCGACGGTGTGGATTTTTAAGGGCGAAAAAATCCTTCGTACGCCTTCCTTGGGAAGATGTAAATCTCCTCCTAATCCGGCTGTCTCATGTTAGTAGATTTACTTGTAAAATATGTAAAAGATCCTCATGCCTAAATGTCGCCTCTGAGCTACATTCAAATAGCCCGTTCGTCGCGCAAGAAATACCTCCTTTCTCCGTTAGTTGGTAAGGAGCGTAGCGAAATTTGCGTGGTCAGACGGAAGAGCGAGCCACATGGCCTGAGTCTCGCCACGTAAAATAAGGCAAATTCAATTCAATGTTTAAGGATGAGAGTTCGTATTCGAAATAATTATGGCCGGTTTACTGTTAATAACAACAGTGAAGTGTTTCCATTTACGGTATTCAATAATTTAAATTTAAAAAAATGTCTGTTTCGTAATTGTCAGTTCATTTCTATCATAATGCAGTTTTCATATGCACCGAAAGAGCAAATAACTTAACTGTGTTCATAAAGTTTTCTGAATAATGGCATTTTGTTTCATTTGAGACTCCCGCCCCCAATCAAAATTTTGTGAAGTGCTCCGATTTTCTGTTTTAAAAAAATGGGACCCCTAAGTTATAATACCAATAAGTTTGTGTAACTCTGTTTAGCTTCCTAGTATGAAGTAGTAATAAATACATGAGTTGGACAGTGAAGTATCGCGACCAACTGCACAATCAGGCGAGCCATTTATTATCGAGAGCAGTTGTTTTTGTAGCCGCTACGTGAAGGTTAATGCCACAGTCGTCCAATCACGTTGACAATTTATTCTCGTATAGCGATTTTTAAGTTCAACTCAGCTAAGCTAAACAGGGCAACACTTCATATGTGTGTCTTTACTAAAACTGAATATAAGTTTTTACATTTTCCTTCATGTTTAATCTCCCTTTTGTGGGTTGTATATAAAAATCAAAGTAACAGCATTTTTCTTGTTTTTGTAAGGAGGTTAATAACTAATCCCTTTGCACC